TAACCAATGCAAGGGATTGATAGGCCCTTAGTCAGCTAAAAAATTGATATACGTAGTTAAGTCAAAGGAAACCATCATTAATCTGAGAAAATGAAATGTTATCTACATGAAGTATGCCATAATGTGATCTGTGTTTTATATACAGATGCAAGATATAATTCATTGGGAATCACCGACAACAGTGACTAGTACCGTCCAAAGGGTGGAGATGACGCATACATCACAGTCATTTGAATTGTTCTAGGTGGAGCTCAACAACAAGGAACTTACAACAGTAAGTGTCAATTTGATTTCAGTCCCTGCTTGTATTACTAACCCTACCATAAGACTAGCGACACTTGAGTTCTTTTAATATTTACGTTTTTGGATTTTAGTCAATTTGGAAATACTTTTGGCTAGGTTGGTCCCGAATAATCAAATCATCATTTCATTGTCTATCAAGTGTAAATGGTTCCCATTTACCAATTATGTTCATAAATGTCTGTCATAATCACTTGGTGCTCTCAAAGCAATCTGAGGAAAGATTAATGAAATAAAAATGTAGTCACAATTAAACAGTAACATTCTTTTCACGGAAAATATGATGCATTATCGATCGATTATGTAAACATATTTTCTAAGTAAATAAACGGGATAGTAAATGGTGCTTTGTTATAAAAAGACAAAGTAAGAACTGAAAATTCACATTCCAGTTTCCCTATACGATATGCATGATGATTTTGAATAATCCAAATAATTCTGCTTCCATACAAGTTGATCGATTGATGATGGTTCATGGGTAGCTATCCGGTTACTATTAAGGCCAGGTCAGTGAACTAGATATACGTTTTTGAATTCATGAGTAAAACGTATCAATAGACATTAAGAATTTGGATTTTTGTCTCTTATTGAGACAGACGAACTTTAATACTACGACTTTAATAAATGATACCGCTGAATTCAAGTTGTTTTAGTGGAAGGATACTGAATGCAAGACGTTTAGGCCCTATGGCACTGCTGAATTTCTAGAAGAAAAACTTATTTTTCTATAAAAATACTTTTCATGGTTCTGTTGATGGGATGATTTAAAATATTAAGTACAACATGTATTGTTTCGAAACTGTGAAAGAACATTAACAATCAGGATCAGGCAACTCCAGTTATGTGTTCAAGAAAAACAAGTGTTGCCGCTACAATTATCATGGCCGGATTTGAGAGGTACCAGCTTATTCCCATCCTTTCCCAAGTAATCTTATTTTTTAATTCCATACTGTAGATACCCCTTCATCCATATGGTCTGAAATAATTTTAAAAAGTCCTCTAAACCTGTTTTTTCGTCCAGTATGAATAACATTCTATCAAGTTATTATTCCACAAATTATCTTGCTTAGTTTATTTCATCCAGATGTCAAAAACGTCTAACTATTTTCTGAAACCGTCACCTTAAGGTTTATTGATACTTGTAATTTCCCGTCGTTATATTGGGTCGAACTGCTCAACTTCTGTTGGCAGATGGGCTCCTATGCAGATGCCTTGATACAACGAAAACTGGTCTTAGTTAACTGCTTCTAAACACTTGATACAAAATCATGCGTATGACTTCTTTATTTCGTTGCTGATGTGTGCAATCGAAATGACAAGTGATACATTTGATAAACTTTCTACATGGTTTAGCTTGACAGTTGCTCTACGCTAAAGAAGTTCTTTTTTCTAATTTTGTAGATTAGTAATGTTAAAACTAACCTGCAAAAATAAATTAGTCATCTCAGGTCTACGGCTTTCAAAATAGCGAAAATTTTCAGTGTTTCTACAGATAGTTAATTCATATTCATTAAAATTTTTACTGTTATAACTTGAATCTTTTAATCAGGTTAATAATTTTTTCAACTGGACGTATCAAAGTATGTTTTTACATAATAGAATTATAGTGAAAATCAAAAGGCGTCATATTGGTTTTACATCTGCAATACGAACTTTTTATTGATAAGCATGCCAACTTTCTTCATTAATCAAACATCTAACCTTTCAGGTCATATAACGAGAATGTTATCTCAAGTTGGCATTTATCATGAACTGACATCATTTGGCGAACCATTAAAAAATATGGGAGCACTGGATAGTTGTTTCGTCCCAGTGATGAACTTTCCAGCAGTGCGCGTGCACGACCAACCCCCACCAGGGATCGGACCCAGAACTTTTGGGTTCCGCAGCGTGCGTGTTACCAGTGATTCACTGGTTCGGAGTCGATTGGTTCACACCTTCTTACTTCTCTCAGTTTGTGATATAGCGCAACCATCCTTCAGTGACATCGCTGAATAACTCTCTTCGCATCCGACTTCATTTGTCCCACCAGTCTCGACGCATTTTCAGAACTTCGGGAAATCTCATCTCCAAGCAAGTCACTGATGAGCACTGCATGGTTATTCAGCTTGCAGGCTTTTGAGAATCTGACCGTTTTCAAGTTGATGTCCATTACAGACTGACATCAGTTGGTGAACTACTGAAAACTAAGTGGCACTGGATGGCTTTTTCATTCTGGTGTGAGAATCCTCAGTAGTACGCACCCCTGACCCCACCAATGACCACACATGGATTGAAAGTTCATATCAGGACTGATTTTTCCGTGTTATCAGGGTAATGTCACTTCCATTCTCAGTTTCAAGTCTCTTAAATGTAGCAGACTATCTTGTCATCTTCAGTGAGCCAGGTAAAATGTTGCTTGTGAGTAGTTATTCGTCAGAGATGGTGTTCATCATTAATTCAAGTATGTAAACGCCTATTCACAATACACTAAGTTTTATGTTTGTAGTAAAAACTCCATTTTTACTTCGTTCAACTGAAAATAACATTGATGAATAGAAATCCTTAAAGTTTTACGCATTATGAAAAGCAGTTTGTCTACACTGAACTGAAATGTAATCAGCATCTTCACTATGACAATTATGTCAGCTTCAATCAAACAAATTACAGTACACATTGGGTTGAGAAACTAAACAAACTTTATTGTACAGTATTCAATAAAAGGGTTTAGTAAAACAATTTTCACACTAGTTTTTGTTTTATTTTAAAAAACGCATCTTTTTAAAAAGTATGGAGTTATTGTTCAAAGTATCAATCATTTAAATGAGACAAAATTATGCAGTATTAATGAATGACAGGTATCAAGAGATATTGCTGGTAAGATATAAAAACTTTATTACCACAGAGGGTAAATTAAAGTGAAATGCTGATGACGGTGATGATGATCAGTATGTTTTTAGGGAAACTTAGCACATTATTATAGTTCTTATTTCAAAATATCATAAAATGGGAATGAGTTTCAAATGATTGTTGTTTTCGATGATTACTGGTGGCACTCTGCAATAGACACATATTTGTAATCTTGAAATATCCTCATGAAAGGTTTCTTAAACAAACGAACAATCCTCATAATAAGTAGTAAAAGAAAAATGCGACGCCGTAGAAAATCTGCTTTTCGACGATTTCATTTATTAAGCTATAAAATCTTATTTCATCAATAGGGACAATGAGATTACTATAATAATCAAGGGTAGAAAAGACGTTTCTCAGATAGAAGAATAAGAATACCTAGGCTTTGATAATGCTAATGAATGCATGTAATGTTTCGAAAACAGAGATTAGACTTCGGGTTGTGAACTGCCAATGGTTCATTTACGTATAAATGCCACAATCGCAGACTATTATAACTGTGGGGAGGAGAATCTTCTGAAATATGTTTACCAATCTGACCCTGTCTACGGTCAATGTACTTTGTTCCACAGGAAGAAGTTAACTAATAGATGAACACTGAGGTAGCCAAAAGCGGTATAATATCCTTAACTCATTCATTGATTCACTGTCTGCTGGAAAATGTGATTCTCAGACGAGGTGCATGAAATGTCTTCTCCAAAGACCTTGGGAGGTGACGTTTGAGAATTTCAGCTGCAGTGTAACCTTTGAAATCTCAGGTTTATATAAACAGTTTCCTTTGAGATGGTTGGTACCTTTTGTATTTGTGACTTTTCTTTCGTATCAGAGTTCACGACTGTAGATGGATAATCGTTTTTCATCAGGAAGTTAAGTAGAAATTGTAGTTTACTATCTATTGTATCTTTAGAGCATATTCTTGGAATCCCTGAATACAACGAAATTACAAGGTTCTGTTTGCTAATAAGATGGACATAACTAAAGTGACCGGTCTAAGCTGGCTTTCTCTACATTGCTGTCTGTAGAGAATTATCCAATCTTCTTGTTATTAGCACATCAGGCAATGGAATTTGTTTCACGCTGTAGGGTTAGTTCCATGCATGAGTGTGCAGCACTCAAAATGTTAAGAAGGTTGTTCAAATCAGATTCTTCATCGTATACAATAAAAATGTCACTAACGTACCTTTTGACATTTGTCTAGTCACAAGTTACTATCATAATCAGGTATTAGTTACACTATCCAGATCATTTTTCATCTTTCCCTTTTTCAGTTGTTGCAATATCTGACAGTTTGAGTGGATGCACATTCGGTAGACATTTCATACTGTTGTGCTCACCTGTTTACTAGTAGCTTCGTTAGATTGTGATTTCAATTTGCCACAAACTGTTTGATTTACATAATGTATACACAAAGTCACTACTCACCTATAAGCCCGAAGGCGTCAAAAGATATACCATCGATGTCATCGCTCGCGCTAGAAAATAATAATTAGGTCTATGGAATTATAGAAGATCGTGACCGATTGCTCCGTGACTCAGAACCATCTTCAGCGGCATAGACTTGCTAATTCTTTACATGAAAGTTCAAAACCCGCTATTTTTGCCTTATGTTTTGTTAATTTTAGTTTTACGGGCTGCTTCATGGTGTTAGAACGACAAAGGATGTTTTAGTACAGTCTATGAACATTCAGTCTCAGAAACTCATAAATTGTAAAACCAACCATAATCTTAATTCTACAAAGAGTTCAAGATGTAGTTGAGCTTCCGTTTTTAAATTTCAACTTCAACTCATTTTATTCTTGTCTTATTGACAGGTACAGTATTCGACGGTTCACAAATTGAAGTAACATGGGCGAAACCAGCAGATAAGAATGAAAATTTAAAAATGAATCGCAATACCAATTCAGTACTAGCACCTAGTCATAATTATAATGACAATAGTATATTCGTCACCAGCAATAATTCGATTATTCATAGTAATGACAATAATAATAATAATTTGAACTTCCCATTATTAGCAAATTACTTAACCGATCCATTAACTGTATCAACAAGCATTCCTATGGCTGGGTCAGCAGCCTTGCCCTTATTATCGTCACCAGCATCAGTCACTTTATCGAATTCATCCTATGTCATTTCATCATCCACATCAAATATAATTAATTCAAATCAATTCAATAATAATCACAATATGTTTACACAACATTTAAATTACCCTAACTCATTCTCTTTATCCCCAATAATCAATCAATCTATCCTTTCAACAAATTCATACAACCAATTAAATCATTCACATCGAATATGTCCGTTCATACAGTCAAGAAATTTCGAATCCGACAAAACTGACTATCAGGGTCATCTGAATCCACTGCTCGATTTCAGTTCACCATCTACATATTCTTCAGAGTCATCATCAACAGGAACATCGTACACTAAGTTAAATGCTAGTGTCGGTCGAATGCCGTCCGATTGCAGTGCAGTTAACACAATGTTTAAGAAGAATGCTCACATTGTCTTAACAAATAATGCAACTCTTACAAATTCTGCTCTCAACAAAAATAACATTGATAATGCAAATAATACTTACATCAGTAATATTTTAGATAAATCACCGAATAAATCATCTTTAATACAAGGTCAAATTCGGTTGAATGAATTGTGCACATCCATTTCATCTTTAAATAGTCGACAACAACAACTTCAAAAATGTTCAAACTACTTAACATTGAATCCAGTAGATAGACTATACCGTCACGGACAACCGTTTTCACAGAATAATTTACCAATGTTGAAAGGAAATCGCATGTTAAATCACCATTTAAAAGACAGGTATGTTTTTCTTCAGAAGGAAAAACTGTGTTTTATAATTACTCACAGGAAATAAATTGTGGGACACAAATTGATATTGATGCTAATTCGTCTTAGTTATCCTACAATCGAGCCCATTGACATGACTGGTGATAATGTAGTTACTTACAGAGAGATATTTCTGTACGTATGCGTAATGCACTTCAAAATGACAAAAATAGGAATCATGTTTTATGTCACTTTATTTCTTCAGCTGCCAGCGATTCTTCTAAAGAGTATAACCTTGTCTTATTAAGAAAGCTACAGGCGCCAAACAAGATATTATTACACTCCAAGTTTGTCACGTAGACTCCACTGATGACGAGTAGTTACCACAGTACACTTCTTAAAAGCTGCTCGGAGAAAGGTTATCATTACGTCATAACTCCTGAGTTGTCTTCTTGAGACATGAGGTTATAACTTTTAAAAATCAAGAAAAGATTGCTTCTCTTAATTAGTTAATTATTTTCTTATGCTTAGATATGATTGACAATGTTCATCATAGTATAATGGATGATTCTTTCTAACGGATTTGGCAGATTGCAGTGACCAGTGATTCCCATAATACCGTCATATCGATTAGTTAGTTGGCAACTTCAGGCTCAAAGACCTCTAGCATATTTTATAGTTCTTCTGTAAGCATCCAGCTGGAAAGCATACAGTTATTTTTCCACTTTGGTTACTCGTAATACCATAAGAGTTTAGGGTGGCCAGACCAAGACTTGGCACCAGTCCATGGAGTCTGTGACTGATGGTGTGAGCTGTGTGGGGAGATGCAGACTGCCTGATTGGGGTCCGCAAAATGATGGGGACTCTTGGTGAAATGAATGAGAATCGGTCACAATAGCACAGACCTATTCACTCCTTGATATCTTCTACAGCTTGACTATTCGCACTAACCATCATCTTTATGTAGCGTATTCCCTCACACAACTTTGTCTACTTTGAAATGAGTCATTTTCTATCCACCTGTTCTTTGTATTTTATTGAGAAGTATAGGAGCTTCAGGTGACACTTCTGTGCAAGATTCTTCGTTGATGTTAGTCAGCCATTCAGAGCTGATGTTGTAACAGTTATATATATATATATATATATATATATATATATATATATATATATATATATATATATATATATATAAGTAGTTCAGTGTTCAAATACTTATTATCTTCATCAACGTGAGGCCAGAGTTTTGACAAAGATGGAAAAGTGAATTTTCACGTGAGGATTTTGTATCTGGAAAGGACTCGAAGCCAAGCATGGAAATGGCGGTGATTTAGGGTCCTGTGAGCTTAGATACTATGTTATAAAAGTTCCATCTAAGGACCTGCGATCATCACTTGTTCTAAGGTGGAATAACTGTCTAGGTAGTGTCTTAGCAGATCTTAAATATTTTTGAGATTTTAGTTGAAGAGGCGATTTGTATTGCACCTTGAGAGCTTTAGCATTAAATTTTCGTGAGTCAGGAAACATTTTCGTTAAAAGGTAATTGTATATGTTATAACACTGTTTATTTATTGATTTATTTAGTCAATTTTTGCTTTGTTTACAGACGTTTGTTTACCGTCTCAGAAGGATTGTAGATTGCTTTTTTAATCAGTAGTCTATTAAGTGACTTTTAGAGATTCTCCTGTAGCTTTAGAATTTGCCCTTTGCAGAATTTCGACATTCTTAAAATCAAATTTTTGATTGTGATTGTCTCCATACATTAGAACTAAGGATGATGTGTCATGTCACATAATTACTAATTGGTTTTGTTGGATCCTTTGAGTGACCCATCAGTTACACCAGCAAGGTTAATGTTACGGACACTTTTCATCAGCTGATTTTGTAAAACTTACTCATCCTATCTTCCTTCGATTGGTTATCTTTTAGGCAAATGTGAAAAGTCTACAGAGGTAAGGGTAAACAGCTGCAGCTAAATTTCTAAAAGCCTAACTGATGGAAGAAATATCAGGGCTATATAAAAGACACAGAAGGATAAGTTATTAAAATATATAATATGTTCAGTGGAAATGAAGTCATGTGATACTGCATTTGCCTGAATGACACCATTTGAGTGCTATTTGGTACTAAAAATATCTGTTGAAAGTCAGGTGGGAAGGCTTTCCAAATCTCTACCGATTGGTCAAAATTCTTTGTTTCAAGATAGTGTATAGCTCATAAGCTGAAAGACTAGGTCAGTATGCATCGGATACTTTATTACAGTTAAAAGTGACAGCCAATCTGTTTTATTCGAAGATAGCTTTCATCGATAAAGAAAAAGCAGCAGAGAAGCTACTTCAACCCAGCTGTTTCATTCTAGTTTCATCCTAATTAATCCTTATCTCAGCAAAGTACTTAAAGAAACGCATTTGTATCAGTGTTCTCAAACATTTGTTACAAGTTCCATTCTTTTGAGAAACATTTTGCGTATCCATAAGAAGAGTCAATGGTTTCAATTTCTCATTATCAGTTCGAACAGTTTTTATTCGTGATGAAACTACATTTACTCACTATGACTCTCGACTGTGTTTGAACTTTGGTTTTTAGTAATTAGTAGGACCACCTGGACTAAACATCAAACAATATGTTAGCCACATAATAGCAGTGAATCAGTTAGACTGGAATACGTTTTCTCTTATGTTTACGGAAGAGAAAAATATTCTTTTTCCATTTATTTATACCTTCTATTCTCCGATAGTTCGTTTACCAAAAACACTGTATCACTTACTTCATTACCGTCGAATAAACTGAACTCAAATAAGAAATCGATATTTCACAATCATGAGATTACTACACCAGTGAACACTGATTATTTTAACCTCAAGGATCGATGTAAAATGGATCCTTATAAGGTGAGTGAAGTGTTGAAAATCTTATACCTGAGTAAGAGTTTAAAATAGTCGAATCTTATGAAGTTTTTTATTTTCAACAAGTTATGAGATCACTTTGTTGGTCATTTGTTGCGAGATATTTTTACTTTCAATTGCCTGAAAGAAATTGTTTTGTTAAAGAGGATGATTTGTTGAAATTGTATTATCTAAAGTGGATAGCCATCAGTACACTTGACCTATTAAGCTTAACAAACTCTGTTGCTATTTTCTCTCCAAACTTTACTGCAGTTTGATTCAAAACAGGAAAATTCCAGTCTCAGAAGGGTTCATTTTCCTTTCCTTGATGTTTCTACCAGCCCTCATCGACTGATAATCAGTTCAGTGTCAGAATCAATTAAGGAGTCTAACTTTGTACTTATCAACTTATAAACTGCAGTCCTAATGAAAAATCAACTTAAACCTTAACGGTCAGACAAAGAAGACAAAGAAACATCTATTCCACAACACAGCTGCAGTCGTTTACTAACATGATCTCATAAAGCTGAGGAAACTATTGTTACGGCTTCTCTGAATCTTATTTTCACATAAATTCTTAAATGTTTATTACGTAAAAGAAGTTTTCAAAATAGATTGGTTTAATTTAGAGAAAGACTGAAGCTAGAAACAGCTGTTTTGTTCTAGTTTCAGATTTCTTGGAAGTCGGCACCAATGTCACTACGAGGAAACGAGTTCAGGACCATATGGTCTCACAGAAAGCGTGGTGTTTCTTAGTCACTTAGGGGAAACCCACTTGTTTATTACAACTATTCTTTTATGACATCTGTGGATAAGTGTTTTTACTTCGACAGAACCAGGCTATCGGTCATGACTTTTTATTAGAACTTACAGAAATCAGGGTTTCAAATGAGTGCCACGAGTCATTCAGTTGATGGTTAGAATTTTATTGTTCATTCGCCATACTGATTTTTTGTTGTAGTACTATTTTCAAGCACGAAGAAACCAAAAAATACTCATGATTATTGATACAGAATGTTTTTGTTCAACGATAAGTTCATCTATGAGATTTATATAACTGCATACATAAGTATTACAAGAAATGTGACCACTTGCCATAAAAGGAAGTTTGTTGGTTTCTATAAGTGCCCACTTGCGTCATATGTGGCACTGACTGATGAGATATTCGACTATCAATTGAAGGATATGTATACCGCCCCGTAGTCCGTTTTGCCCTCTGGTACGTGTGTAAGATATGGCCGTTAAAAGCGGTAGATATGAAGCGGTTACAGGGTTTTTATCAGAGGTGTCTTCGTAGAATTGCTCGCGTTTGGTGGAATCATCATGTGAGCAATGTTGACGTCAGGCGAAGAGTACTGGGCAAGTCGATTGAGGAGGTTGTTAACCCTCATTGACTGACATCGCTTAGTCGGGTACTGCGCATGACGAGTCACCTCTTAGATCGACGTGCAATGCTAGAAGAAGTTAGATTAGGTTGAAAGAGGATTGAAGGTGGTCAGATGAGGACGTGGAAGCAGTCAGTGAAGTCTGCAACCGTTGGTGTGAGCTGTGTGGGGAGATGCAGACTGCCTGATTGGGGTCCGCAAAATGATGGGGACTCTTGGTGAAATGAATGAGAATCGGTCACAATAGCACAGACCTATTCACTCCTTGATGTCTTCTACAGCTTGACAGCTTTGTATCTTACTGAGAAGTATAGGAGCTTCAGGTGACATGTGTGTGCGGGGTCACAGGTTGATTTTGTTTGTTTGTCTATCTCCCTGACCAGTGAAGAATTACTGTAATCATTAGTGTCATCAAGTATTTTTCAGAACATACAATTGCTACAACAATTTATAATTAAGTCGGTTTGTGTATTTATAGGTCCACAATGCCGAAAAGCGTGCCACGTCACTTTGACCGTATGTTCACACATATGCTGTCAGATAAACTAAATTAGAAATTATTTTTGAGTTCAGCTCACCTGACACGATCGGTGAAGAGAGATCTTAAGTGGGATCTAGGAAGTCGTTGTTTGACAGAACTTGATATCTCCCTGTTTTTGAAATCTTTCTGAAGCAGATAAAGCTGATTAATCGCTTTGGAGCTTTGCACTGAAGTGCATTACCCAAAGTTACCAGACACGTTTTCGCATGAAATCAAGAGGAAGTCGCTAGAAAAGAATGATAGTGAAGTAGAAAAAGCGCTTGTAAGAAGAATGGATGTTACTGAAGCTTTATATAGGTGATCAAAATTCTGATCATAAATTGTGTATGAATTTGCGTTAATGCAACCAATTCTCATAAATGTCACTTAGAGTGTTCAACCGTCGATTCAAGTTATGACGAAAACTTTACTCAGAAAGCCTACACTTCCAGACACGCTTTATGCCCAGATTCAGAAACTTCAATCATTGCTACCATACCTTGGTGTGACATGACAATATTATTGAAATACTACATGCAGTTCGTGAAATGAAAATTTGTATTTACGGTATATTATGATGCAACAAGGAATCATCTAATTCAATGATTTTCCCTCCACTTTTGCCAGTAGATATTCAATTAAACGTTTACTGTAGAGAAAACAACTTGTAATCTTCTTTTTCACAATACTTCAAGAAAATTTCTAGGTGCTATAGAACAAGAAGTAAATAACTCTCCTTTGATCACAATCTAGCTATCTTAAAAGCGATCATGGCCAACCATTACCTATTCCCATTTTACTACATCCATGCAGTGCTTAAAGTAAGATAGATATGATTTCGAATTAAAATATTTAGTTGAAAGCTGTTCATAGTCAATGATAAGGTAAGAACTACTTGTAGATCATGAAAGAATTCCGTGCAGCCTCTATTTACATGCCAGGTTATATGTCTTGACTGCTTCAACACTAACACACGCTAGCAGATAAATGTTTTCCACACTTATTACTGAAAATGGAATTGCGGCTTTCCAGTAAGTCAAAATTTTCTCCATTATCGAATTTCACTGGCAGAATAGGTCATCCCAGGTTTCGCAGTCCCAGTAAAACTAGAACCATGCTTCATTTGATTCAATAACGGTTTAACAGTAGATCGGATTGCATAGTTATTCTTTTTTCTTTATTTTACATTGAACATTACAGTTATTAACAGATATTTGTTTGGAGAATGGTCTTGAGTCACCAAAGTTTACAACTCTAATGCAGAGCTGTACAGATCAAATCACTGGAAAGAAAGTGAATCTTTACATTGGACAGGTAATCTGAGGTTTCTTGTTGAGTGTATTCATTAACTTTTCATTGTCATTGAATGGGAAATATAACCTTGAAAATAGGACAGAATGATCACTTTTGTCTGCATAAACTCACTTCAAGATAACAGGATCTTAAGATGTAGACAATATGTATGCGTACGGTTTGTTCTAAATGCAATTGTTAATACTTACAGATATAAATCAGTACCTTGGATGACCAGTAAAGGTGTGTGATAAAAAGCTTGAACAAGTCTGCCTTGGTGAGCTAGTTTGTATCATTGAAATGTAACTTAAACACTAGTCCTTCCTAACGGAATAACATTTCATAAAAGTTACATAGTCAGTATGTCTCCACTAACGATGAATAGTGATTAGCAGTGAAATCCAGGGCGCAAACTCGGGACCGATCACTTCAAACACCAGAGCGTTAGCCAACAGGCCACCGGGTCATGACAGCCACTTCTTGTGCAATGGGTATAATTTATATGATATTGTTTATATTATTCCGGAAGACAGATATATCCAGTTCAATAGTCCTAAATGGGACGAAACGCGCTTGCTTGATCCCACTGCTAATCACTATCCATCAATAATATCAAAAGTGAAAACACAGGCAACATCAAGGTATCCATGCTTAGCCAATATCCCATTAAGGGACTAATCATTTCTGTCAAATCGATGATGGGATAATACAAACAACGTCACAGTATGTACTGCGCCCACAGTGGCTCAGGGATAACGTGCTTGCTGCAAAACATCGGGGTCCTGGGTTCGATTCCTAGCAGGATCATGGGTGCGAATTGTTGAGGCATCCCATACTAGGACGAAACAACTGTTCAGTGTCCTTAGGCTTTCAATGGTTCTTCAGTTGATTTGAGATCATGATTACTAGCAACTTGAAATCAATAAATCCCCACAAACTCCAAACTGACTAGCTTCACTCCAGAGTAATGACGATGCTTTTTCTTTAAATTCATCGGATCCTATGACTAGATTAAATTATTAAAGGTTAATTTTCATCAATAATCTAAACCCACGGTTAATCGATTGGAGTATGAATACTCAGTTTTGACCAACTTCAAAGAGAAAATAAAGTTTATAAATATTACCAACCTACCTTGCTGGCAAAGTCCTGACAAATATAAAGGTCAGTGGTGTTATGAGTTACCAGGCTGCCATACCATTTCCTTATATTGTACGATAATGGTAACCTGTACATCATTGAAAATGAGGTATATTCTGAACAGCGTGATGTGCACATTATAAAGTCCGTTTCTATCAGCAATACCAACTTAACCCAAGAAGAAACATAATCTCAGAATGCTATGAGCTAGTTTAAGAAAATTGCAGCGTGAGTCAGTGAACACTAATAGCGGATGATTAATTTGCAAGCGACTTACAATTCGCACGATCCACCTTGATATTTTCCACAGCTGAATAGTTTTTCAACTGCCCAGCTGTGATGTCATTGGGGCCAAATCTACAGGTGAACCTTAGTGGGTTCTAACTATGCACAGTTTTCAGTATCAGTATATGCCCAAATTAATGTCTGGAAGAATTTGCTGATTTCAAGAAACTTTTTATCGCCAACTGACTTCAGTTGGAGTACACACTATAGAGTTGTGGGTATGCACTACTGAGAAGTCCCAAACTGGGCCAGAATAACTGTCCATTGCCCCCAGGTATTCAGCTGCAGTGATGTTAAAATCAGTTGTTTGTGAGATCTATTGAAAAAAGTCATGATGACATTCAAATTTGCTAATAGCATTTTATTCCCCTCTCAATTTCATGTCACCGCTTGTCTTTCTGAACACGAATACACAGAAAACAAATATCTGATTTTAATAATTTACAAATGGTCAGTATTTTGATAATTGATTGCTGTCAAGAAAACTTTCGTCAAGAATTAAAACCAGCCATTTCAGGACCTATCCACAGTGCCAGTCCTAGGAGGGGTTGAATCTAAAAGTGTTAGCTTTTGTGCTGAACAAATAACCATTCCCTCTCCCTTGGCTGAAATCCAGCGGTTTACACTTCACAAACTGTCACTAGCTCTGACGATCATGGGTTCGATCCACTATCTGAGGTTTGTTCACTGTTCTACAGCTTTCAATGGTTATCCAGCTAGTTTTAATTTATGATTAAAGCTGTCTTGAAATAACATCAATTCACATAGTTTTATCAAGTATATTGTAACTAGTTGGCTGTTTTCAGTAGAAGAAACTTATTGCTTCTCATATTACAGGTCTATTTACCTAATGTAAATCGTCAGTTCATTTCTAATAATCCATCATTTACAATAGACAAATCATTGAAGTTAGCAAGTGAATCAGCAATTCACTGGTTATTAACGCGTTATTTTACAAACAATAACAATCTATTTACTATGCATAAATTTACAAATTCCAATCATCAAAAACACTTTGTAATTTCTTATTCTACTCATGATCTCATAGTACCTACTACTGCTGGCAATGACAATAAAAATACGAGTATATATTCTGTTCCGACTGTCATGTACACTAATCATATTGCGGCAAGCTTAGCTTCACATCAATGCAATTCATGTTCATCATATTGTTTACCTGTAACACTGAATACAATGAACCAATTTACTGAACAGCCTGGTAAATATTCATCTGTGAATAGCATTCATTTTCAGACATATTTAAAATCTCAGCCAACATTTTCGACATATTTAAACAATGAATTTATGCAGACAACAAACACTAAAAATGATAACAGTAATAGTATTTGTGAACATTTTAAGCCTTGTAAAAATATTATGATGAATATACACCACAGTTGTGATTTAGATCATGCACCCACAAAGATAATTAATAATTGTACTTATAAAAACGATCATGATGATATTTCTAGTGAAGATTCACAATTAATGAAGAAAGCTAACAGTAAAAATACTCAAGTAAGCAATGAAAATGATAACCCTGACTTAAGCTCACCAACATCACTATCATTCTGCAGAAGTACAAACAGTATTCAATATACTCAACCAAACAATCAAGAAACCATGAGAAGAAATGAATTTTCAAGTAAGCCGACATTATGTGATTTGATTTGAAATAGGCGTTATCCTTTATCTGAGGTCGAACCTCAGCAAAATGTATGCTATCATATCAGCATAGTTGTTTAAAAAGTAATGTAATCTGTCCTTAAGAATTCTTTAATAGGTATATAAGTCTATTATTAGATAACTTTCTGTGACTGAGGCTGTCATTCCAACTTCAGTCGTGTAGTCGATACGTGAGCGCCAATGATGTTCAAAACAGATGCGTTCACTTCATACCCAGTAATAAAGTGTCTGTATAAATTTTATTGTAAGTATGAACAGGTTACTGCAAGTACCTACATTCAGATATAGTTAATTACTACCACTAACCTGGATGATTTGTATGCAGATTCAAGTTTAAGTAACCGAGCTAAATAACCTCAAACAACTGCTGAAACCAACCGCTTTGCAAAAACGGAAATTCACTATAGATGTATCTTGCGAAATGATTAGACGTATGAGAGGTTTTCATAATGGGTCGGTCAGCAAACCACTGAAGATTGGACAGCACTCGAAGTTATCTTCATAGAAATACGTTTTTGATAAATGTTCAAATTCAGTGACGGTAGTTCACTTTTTACTGACTTAATTCGCAATTAGTTTTCTTAAAGTTCTCAATGAAAAGTTTTCGTCCGTGGCGTTTAGCTAGTCGGGTTTGTGGAAAAATATCTGTTGGCAACATGGAACAATGTTGTCTTTACATTGTCAATTGACTGTTTGTAATATTTAAGCTGATGGATGCTCACGTAGTGGTCGAATTGCACTCTACTATTTCCGCACAAATGTTTTTACTTACGCTGGTGAGGAGTTCTCTATCAGTAAGAAAACATCACTTCCGTACCTTCTGGCTTCTAATGATTATGTAGCTATTATGTCTTCAATTAAAACTATTATTAGGAATGCCTGTAATATAACACTATCAGGTGACTAACTTGAGTCTCTCACTATAAACAAAAGCTAATTCATTTTATGAAAAGTTCATTATCGATAGCCTCCACGGATTTGTATTTAGCATCATTCCAAATAGAGTGACTGAATAAAACATAAATAATGAAGGCAGAACAAAGAACAGAAAAAATTGTTTGATCAAGCAAAGGTGATGAAGATTTAGTTGAAGTGTTACATAAATATTTAAATGAAGATTAGTGTAAACATATTTGCCATTTCAATTTGTTCATTAGATGTCACACAGTGAAACAGTATTATTATTAACTGGAAAGCATTTTGGACGTTTTTGGAGTTGATTTGATAAATCAACATTCAGTTATCGGTTTCTCTCTACAACCCATGAAGTTATTTTTAAGGACTGTTGTTTTATTTCATCATTTTCAATGCTTGTGTGCACTAGCATACATGGTTGACACAGGTTTTTCTAAATTTCTTATTTAACTACGATCTATCAATTTGAACCTGGATATCCTTTGTGCTCACATAGCCTAATTGACCCTGGTTGAGTACATTGAAGTATGTGTTTGACCATATAACCCTTCAAAGGATTTCATAAACTAAATTAATTGCCTAATTGGATCAGTAAGATCTTTGACATAAAAAGATTGTTTCGTAGTTGATTTGTAGGTTAAAATGCTATTCTAGTCCTAGCCTTACTGACAACTCTTCGTAACGCTTATGAGGTGCCTTCTGTGTATGGTAACTCACTGAGGGTCCATACTGACACCAATAGAACTACCCTTATTTTTACACGTTAGCTAGCTCACTAGTCACAGGCTGGTCCTAAGCCCGGATAAAAAAGGGAAGGTTGGGGATAGGGCTAGCAACCCTACCCCGCAAAACCAATCCAATCGCTAAACAAACTTCAAAGCACAAACAAAATATAAGAGATAAAAATAAACTTATTCCTCGCTGGAGTCAGGGACACGAAATGATGCCGGTTGGTGAAAGCCTTCGGGAACCCGATTGGCCAATACGTCTTCTCTTCTCTCGGTGAAAGCGAAAGTAAACATGGGGACATAGAATGTCCGCACAATGTTTGAAGCCAGCTGGCAAGGCTGCCCAGATTGCCAAAGAGATGAGAAGGTATAGTATGTTAGTGCTAGGAATCTGCGAAAACAGATGGAATGGAAGCGGACTCTCAAAACTGTCAACTGAAAAGTCAATAATCTACTCCGATACTGTCAACCAGACGACAACCACGAGCACACTGAGTTTTAGAGTGACTATCATGACGTCCCCAAGAGCATGGAAGGCTCTCTCTCATGCACTGGGAACCAATCTCCTCCAGCATCAGGATCATGACGGCAAGAGTTCAATCAAAAGGAAGGAAAGTCACAAACATACAATGCTACGCTACGTGCCTGAAAATAATGCAGATCAAGAGCAGAAGGAGGAATTCTACAGACAAGTGCAATCAGTACCGGACAAGGCTCCAGTTGGTGACATCAAAATTCTAATGGGGTGACATGAATGGCAAACTGGGAGCAGACAACAAAGGAAGAGAACTCATCCTGGGTCGGTGAAATGATGAATGAGAATGGAGAACTGTTTGCAGACTTCTACGCATCTAATGATTTGGTGGTTGGAGTTAGGCAGTGTGTACAAACACAAGGATATCCACAAGGCATTGACACGGGTTTCACCAGATGGACACACTACACTAAAAATCAGATCGACTTCATCTCAATGTGAAGAAAGTGAAGACGCAGCCTACTGGACACAAGATCAGGTCAAGAAGGAGGGCAGATGTAGGTTCAGACCACTATCTAGTGCAAGGAACCTACCTCCAAGATCAAGTTGAAAGCCTTGAAAGAATTTGGTGATAGACCATGGTTCAAGTTCAACACCCAGAACAGAAACCGAGGTATGAAACTACAAGGGACATCTTCACGTTAGTCATCAGGACGAAATGGGAGACATTGAGCAACATCCGCGAAGAAACCTGGGTGGAAGAACACTGGAACTGCGTGAAAGAGACCTGGAAGGAAACCTGCATAACCATGCTAGGAAGGAAGAAACAAGACAGGAATGGATCTCCACGGATACATGGAAGCTGATAGAGGAAGGAGAGGAAGATGATGAAACAGTGCAGTCCAGTGCAAGGATGAACAACGAAAAGAGGAACTGAGTACAACGTATAAAACACTGGACAAAGAAGTGAAGAAGACTGCACGGAAAGACAAGACACTTCTTCTACGACACATTGACAAGTGAAGTAGAACAGGCAGCAGGTAGGAGAGACCTGACAACATTATACCAAATAACCAGGTTAGTATCTGGGAGGGAAGAGATCAACGCAGACGAAACCAATGAGAGATAGTGAAGGAAACCTAGTTACCACCAAAGAAGAGAAACAAAGGAAACAATGGTCTGATCACTTCAGAAAACTCTTGAATCGACCACCACCATCACCTGCAACTCGTCCAGAAATACCATTAGCATCTCAGCCACAGAACTACAAGTGAACACAAGCCCTCCGACAAAAGCTGAAGTGGAGTCCTGAACGCCATAAAGTTGCTGAACCCCGGTAAAGCAGCAAGACCAGATGGAATTCCGCCAGAAGCACTGAAAACAGACGCAGAGACAACAGCGGAAATGTTCACACCACCATTGCACAAGGCTTGGAAGGAAGGAAGGAAAGGTACCTGCCGAGTGGAAGAAGGGCTACCTTGTCAAACTCCTGAAGAAGGGAAATCTAAGTCCTTGCAAGAACTGGTGCGGAATCATGTTGCCGTCCACACCAAGCGAAATATTATGCCGCATTATCCTGGGGAGATTAAAGGATGCGCTGGATTCAACTGGAACAAACTGGCTGGATTCAAGAAGTACAAATCATGTGCGGATCAAACTACAACGCTACGCCACGCATCATCATTGAACAGAGCATAGAATGGTAGTCAACTTAACTCAACCTCAACTTCATCAACTTTGAAAAGGCCTTCGATAGCGTCGACCGAGAAGTAATTTGGAAACTGCTTCAACACCACGAACCTTTATCAACCTCACTCAACAGCTAGCTATATGCTGTATGATGCTGTGTGCCAAGTGATTCACAATGGAAAGCCCAGTGACGCCTTTGAAGTGAAGACAGGGGACAGGAGTAAGACAAGGCTGCCGCCTACTATCACCGATGATCTTCCTGCTTGTGGTCGACTGAACTGGATCATGCGACAGACTGTGAGGAGTGAAAAGAGAGGCATACGCTGGCTGGACCGATGAAGAGATCCTAGAAGGTTTGGATTTCCCCCATGATGATTTATGTCTAATGTCGCACAAACTCGAAGATCTTCAAGCAAAAACCAACAAGTTGACAGACGAGTCAGTGAAGACGGGACTTCTTCCAGGTGGACGTAGAGAAGATAGAGGTGATGAAGACACCCAACCAACAACAACATCAACAGCGAGCATCAGTCACCGTCGACAGAAGAAACCTAAAAGAAGTAGCCTCTTCCACTTACACCTGCCTAGGCAGTCTCGTTTCAACTACAGGCGACACAAGCACAGATGAGGACGTCAAAGTCAGGATCAGAAAGACAGCAAGATAGGCCTCCATTAACCTGAAACCGGTGTGGAGATCTACTACACCCAGCACTAAGAACAAGATCTGGATTGTTAACACCAACGTCAAGTCAGTGCTTCTATATGGTTCAAAAACCTGGCGCGTTACGAAAAGCATTTCCAACAAACTACAGACACACGTCACATCAACAGCTGCCGCCTACGCTCACTCAATACTGAAGATCAAATTGCCAGAATAATAAGAATAAGCAACAAGGAACTCGGGCTGGCTGGCAACGAACCAACCAATAGCTTATCGCTCAACAGATATGCAGAAGAAGAAAGTGGAGATGGATTGGGCATACACCGAGAAGACCGTTTGGCGACATCACGCGCCAGGCCAGGTTCTCGAGTGGAACCCAGATGGGAAACGACGAGTTGGGTGTCCGAGGCGGGGTGACATGGAGGAGATGGTGTGAGGAAGAAATGAGAGCTTCTGGGCTGTCGTGGAGCCAGGTTGAAAAGACTGCAGAGAAGAGAGTGAAATGGTGATGTGCTAGTGAAGCCCTATGTTCTACTGGGAGCCCAGGGGACAAATAATATTAATAATATTTTCACTGAATGTAGTAGTATTAAAACCATTGTTACTACTTGGGAATATATTTTCTCTTCGATTTATTTTTGAATTCATTGGTAAATTTAGGTGGGTAATCGTTGAAATACAAGGTATTCCTTATACGCCTTATTTCTTGCCTTAGATTCTCTGTCCTACTCAGCAAGCTCTTACTCCGTATCACTTGAACATTGAATCAAGCCTACTTCAATTGAGATAAGATGAGATGATTTGAAGTCTAAGTAATTATTCGTATGGCGAGGTTTCTTATAGACACTTAGCGTCCATCTTGGCTTCGTTTTATCTTGCAACCAAACATCGCTAACTCAATTTCATCAATTTCTAAGTCATAAGTATATTAGAGTTGTATAAAGAAACAGTTAGTGTGCGCTGATTTCAATAAAGTAAATGTGCCATCTACTTATCCAAACCATACCTTTGGAGTAAGACTAAATGTTTCACGGAAAATTCGTTCCCAACTAACCGTAAATAAATGTTATCAAGTAAATTATACTGTTCATTAATTGAGATACACATCTAACTAACAACCTAAAATGGAAGTACATTCTTCCACAGTGCCCAAGTTTTACTCCCATATGAAAGTACACATAATTATTTTTGATGAGATATTATGTAGTTACTGTTATGCAGACATGACCATTATAATAACCGTTACATATGATAGATCTGTGCTGCCATCAAAACCTTGTACATACACCTTGCCCACTTTTTAAAACAGTAGCTATTGGACAATGCTGGCATCGAATCACTGGTGATTAGCTGAATAGCAGGCTTCAACTCTACTTTATTCACTTACACTGTTTGAAACTGAAATAGCGCAATTTTGTAGTTATATTTGTCTTCTATTTTCCTTGCCAATCACGATTTACCATTTATTCTTATGTTAATCTTTTCAAAGTTATAAACGAAAATAACGGTAATGATGATAGAAATTCGACAGTTTCAAAAAGTGTATTCTTAAATCACCAAAAAGAAGACTATGTAACACCAAGGAATTTCAGTCAGACATTGTTAGATAATTTTTCCAGTGAATCTGAAATACTTGATGATCAGTTTGAAAATCATGAAGAACCCGTTACAATATTGGATCGAATACTGAGGCGTAATCATTCGAAAATGATAACACCAGCTAATCAAACTATAAGATCGAACGATATAGACGAAAACGATAAACTTGATGATTGTATGAACAAAGACGATAACAATAATGATGTAAATAACAGTAACAATGATAAAAATATCAATCAGCAGACTGACGCCAACTTTATTTCCTCAAAAGAATCCATTGTGTATTGTGAAAATCGACCGAAGACAAATCTATTTCAGTATTCATCGATACCAAATTTCAATTCAGTGACAAACAAAGAGCCTTATTTTTCAGCACACAGATGAAAAAGACTGTAAGAATGAATGATATTCAGTTTCTGAACACTAAAGTTCCGCATATGACAGAACAAAACTCCATTTTCCTACCAACTAATAATAGTTGTGCAGAAGACATTTTCAATTTCAGTCAGTTTTTTCATGATACAGGCGATTCAACACTTCTTGATAATAAGTCTGATTACGGGCATAAACTAAATTCTTTTCAAATCATGCAAAATAAGTTTCCGAAATCATCAATTTTATCTTCAGGCTCATCATCATCAGAATCAACTGCAGTTAATAGATCTGTACATATGCTTATTCGTAACTGGTGTTCACAAGATCATTTTACAAAAGCTTTTACTAGTAAACTGAGTGGTATTTAAATTCTGTGAGAAGTGCTGTTTCTTCTTCAAGTAATCTTCCTTTGTTTGCTTATAATTGACAATAATTAGGTATGTTTCACCTCCCCTTCACACACATTCAGACATACATTAACCGATATTGATACTTTATCTAGTGCAACTGATTCATGCTCTTTTGGCCCTTTTTTCACAATTTTTCATCTTTAAGTGTATTGGAGAAGGAAGATAAGGATTGTTCACACTTCTTTTTATTCCACAGTTACTTGATAAGTGGCTAAACTGGTTATTTTGAGATATTTTTGGCCTAAATAGTAAAAAATTAGTAACTTTGATCACAAACATTTAAATTGAGTTAGGTAAACACGTTTTCTAATAATTTACGCAGTCACTATTACAAAGAAGATGCTATGGTGTAAATGTGTATGAAGATCATACAGGATGGGAATGCTGATTCTGAAATCTGCTGGATATGTTTTATTATGCATAATGTATGCAAACACTTTATGATTTCTCCCTACAAAGGGGTTACTGACGATTATTTTTCAAATTACACTCATACATACGTAGGTATTTGCGTGTATTTATATCAGATAAATAGATCGTAGCTCTTCATTCAGTCTATTTCTACAGTTCATACTAGCGCAATACAAGTTACACTAAGACATTAAAATTGTGAACTTCACGCTAGTTGAATTCTGTTAACGAAAGAAAATCAAATCTCTGTCATATTATCTTTCTCATTTTCTTTGCGCTTTATATGAGTCGACAGTCCAACTAATAATTTCGGTAATGAATTTTTGTTACTTAAAGAATTTACAATCTCATCACTTTCATCAAATAATAAGAACTTTAAGAAAATAAATGAAGATAAAATTGCAAAGAATATCAATAATTCCTTTGCCAATCACAAAATAAAAACGATTTAAAATCAATAGTCAATCATCAGTCTTTGGACTTGTTCAAAGTATTTGTTTAAATTTTTGTTCCGTGAAATTTGAGTGAAAGAAAATGTTTAATTTTCTCATGTTTAATGAAATGTCAATTTTTTTGCTGTCCTATGTTAAATATTGTGGTTGATTTTGTCTGGCAATTAGGTGTTCAAGAAAAATATAAAGTTGTAAAATGACACATTCTTTGCATTCTGTTCTTATTACCTTTGAATGACATTTCAGCAAATGAAGAGAACACTTTTTCAGACTTTAGATCACCAGCCATTAGCTGTATAAACTTATCATTCAAACGCTGCTTCAGACAGAGTTTCGGTTCTCCCCAAACTGTTCTGAATTTTGCCTGCTTTTCATGAAGATGAATAATTCTTAGTGTCCACTCGTTATGAAGCAATCAGTCAGCTCACATCTCCGCTAATCCCAATCTTCTGTTTGTTACAGCTTACTACTTCACTTACTTGGAGGGTTCGGTCAACCGAACGGGGTTGTTGCTGATGAAATCTCAGCTCGAATAAAGGTTACTCGTTTGGCATTCGCAAACTTGCGTCATCTATGGCACTGACTGATGAGATATTCGACTATCAATTGAAGGATATGTATACCGCCCCGTAGTCCGTTTTGCCCTCTGGTACGTGTGTAAGATATGGCCGTTAAAAGCGGTAGATATGAAGCGGTTACAGGGTTTTTATCAGAGGTGTCTTCGTAGAATTGCTCGCGTTTGGTGGAATCATCATGTGAGCAATGTTGACGTCAGGCGAAGAGTACTGGGCAAGTCGATTGAGGAGGTTGTTAACCCTCATTGACTGACATCGCTTAGTCGGGTACTGCGCATGACGAGTCACCTCTTAGATCGACGTGCAATGCTAGAAGAAGTTAGATTAGGTTGAAAGAGGATTGAAGGTGGTCAGATGAGGACGTGGAAGCAGTCAGTGAAGTCTGCAACCGTTGGTGTGAGCTGTGTGGGAGATGCAGACTGCCTGATTGGGGTCCGCAAAATGATGGGGACTCTTGGTGAAATGAATGAGAATCGGTCACAATAGCACAGACCTATTCACTCCTTGATGTCTTCTACAGCTTGACTATTCGCACTAACCATCATCTTTATGTAGCGTATTCCCTCACACAACTTTGTCTACTTTGAAATGAGTCATTTTCTATCCACCTGTTCTTTGTATTTTACTGAGAAGTATAGGAGCTTCAGGTGACATGTGTGTGCGGGGTCACAGGTTGATTTTGTTTGTTTGTCTGCCTCTGTGCCTAGTCCTTAAAACTTAATAATATTTTATGTTATTTTTCTCATCTCTGGCGTTCTAACTCTATTTGCAAGCCTTTAGTAGTTTAAAAATCCTATCCATTTATGGTAATTGCGTGCGGATGCTTGAAAAGTTGTCCATGGTACAAGAATGCTAAATAGCCACATTTTTTGTATCCCATACTCTTGGAAAGGTGCAGTCGCATCAACTAAATACATGGTTACTGATCATGTTCTTGAACCTAAATCATTCAGGAGGTTATTATACGTAGTTAGACAGCACCAAATAATAATATGAACCTACATCGCACTGTTTCATAACTCTATCAAGTAAGTGTTTTATTTGTAACACATCTGTGCGATTATTCAACAGTTTCACTGTAGAAACATAAACCTATAAAAAAAATCTGTTATTATATACTGGAAGAGTGAAATGATTACACAGGAAGCAGTGGCGTACTTTGCAGGATACTTGTTCTCCAAAAACCAATCGACTAAGTCGACTGCAAAACAGATATCATGGGTTTTTAAATCCCCAGTGTGTTTCTTTATTCATGATGAAATTTAAACTGAAGCAGTATGATTAGTATGGGAAATGCATCCATTCACTTAACTTATGACCAATCCAGATTTATACACGGTGAAGAACAATAAAAAATGAACTCAACTTCACGATAGTGTTAAGTTTAAGAATTTGTTTTACATTTTGGTTGTATAAATATTGCGGGTGATGAAGGATGACCAGTCTGTCTAACCTTCGCTAATTACCACTGTTATAAATCGGTGATCGACTAAAGAGACAACAACTTTATCGTCATGATTTTCTGATTTAACAGTAACATGTAAGTCAAAATGAAAACCTACTATTTTCCATAAAACAATTCGGAGGTTTGTGGTGATTTATTTACTGGTTTCAGGTTGGTATTTGTTATATTGTGCAGTAAGATTGACAAAATCTTCATAACTAGCCGTTTGTCCTTGAAGCTTCTAACAGCCCTTTTGCTCCGAAGTCTTAAGGAAAAGCATATGAACCAATGTATAAGTATCATATTGGTTGAAGGGACAAAAATCAATAGAATATTCTAATCTAGGATGGCCTGGAAAATGTCAAGGCTGTTGTAAATATGTATTATCCGTTTCATAATACATATGTATTAACTTTGCAATACAGCTTCAGTTATCATACCATCTTCCCCATTTACCTAGGAGCCGAGCTACCATCAGGGGATGGAATCTGAAGTTTATTGTTTCAGCGTCCACACATATGCATAAATATGTATATAACTCGGGTCATATCCAGTCACTACAAGGATATATCTATATTCATCACTGACTGATATCAATTAGAGAGCCACTGAAAGCCTGGAAGCAGTTAACAGCATTTTTGTCCTTGTACGGGACTCCTCAGTGGTGCGCACTCATGCTCTCACCTGGTCAGAGAAAATATCCATGACCTTCAGATTCCGTGACCAGCACGTTACGGCTGAACCCCATAGACATCCAGATTCGATTGATGTCAAGTAGTTATTAGTGAGCTGCTTCGACATGAAACTCACGGAGTTCAAATCAGAAGTTATGACAGGTGGGCCAACCGAGTGGGATGTGAAGACAGTTATTCAGCGATGACATTGGATGATAGTTGCGCTATGTCACCAACTGACAGAATTAAGTAGATGTAGACCATTGGCCAGTGGCCCAATGGTAAAGCGTTGGCTGTAAAACTCGAGAGTCCTGGGTCCGATCCCTAAAGGGGTCATGGTTGCAATTCGCTCGGATGTCCGATACTAGGACGAAACGGCTGTCCATTGCTCCCAGGTTTCAAAAGATTCCCCGAATGATGCGAGTTCGTAGTGAACATATTCCGTAAAACCTAGCTGGGTGGTGACTATCCCTTCACAGAGTTCTACATTGAGTAGACGGCAAAATTTATACTCTACACCGTAATACTGCTATAAATAGCCTTAGAAAAAGCAACTTCTGGAAATAACTATTAGTTCCTCACTGAAGTTTCTCCACCTGAAAATAAAAATGTTTGCAATACATATACTTTTCTTCATAAAAATGAATTCCTGACAAGGCCGTTTGTAAGTATCACTTAAATATCTAAATGCTAAACTATGTATTTTGAATTCTGCAATTATTGAAAACCTATTGCAGCAGATAAATCAATTCCAAAAAATCAAGAAAAGTGACATGAATACTAACATACAGTTGAAGACTATGTTACATATTTTGCATTGTTATTTTAATCAGAAGTTACAATATTCAGTCACCTTCACTTCGAAAAAGTATGCAAAATTGACAAGAGTATCTTGGTGGTCACGCATGCAGTTTTCACTACTGCATATATGCTGTTGCGCATGATCATACCTCGCAAAATGACTAGTTGTTGATTTGCTGAAAAAATGTGGATGGAAGCCAACATTATCTGACATCACATTCAGTGTTAAGTCTAATTTACTTGCGCATACCTGACAGAAACCAAAAACAAGATATCATATCATATCATACCAATCAACCATCAAATATTGCTCTGTTTGCACGAATAGACCTATCTGTGTGTTAGTGGGCATATAGTAAATAGTTCTTAGCATATAAGAACTCCTTTCGTGTGTGCTCATGTGTTGTTCACGAATACGCTTCTGTATCAAATGAATCAGGTTTTTGTTTTGTTTTCGCAGAAAAACATTCACTAAGGTTTTGCATCGATGTGCTTGCCTATCCAATCATGGAGTTGTTTTTCGCCTCATTTCTGATTATGTTCTGTTCAAGGACATCATTAAGTATATACTTCTTTTGATTGGTTATACAATGTATTTCAGCATCCTTTCAATACGCGAAATATTCATAGGATAACTGAGTATCAAATCACCAGTCAAGTAGGAGGAGGGGTAAATTTAGGTAGACCACTGTTAACGATTATGAACTGTTTTACTGACATTCTGCAACGTTTTTACACAATAGATTGAGGAACCAATCGGGCAGTTGAAATTTCCGCCGTCTTAACAGACTTTGCTGTTATTGTGCATATGGGATTAAATGTGTGGTGGGTTGTCTAATTGTGGTGGATGCTACTAGTAATAATGGATATAAGTAGTATATGTTGAGAGGTAGGTAGAAGTCATAGACAATGCCAGCGACGGATAAAGATTCTGCCCAGAGAAACTCAAGAGATAATGTGAGCGTATGAAAAGCAAATCGAGATAGAAGAATGAGAGAAAATGAAATATACTGCGCAAATGACTATTTTAATGGAAAGTGTGTAACGTTTTATCAGTACTGTATAAAATGTCACGATCAAAATTACTTTCTCCGTCTCATTCTTTGTCGTTCCTTACATAATCGCTAGAGTCAATACGTTTCACGACGTAATCAAATGACTCTCTCTTTTCATCCAAACCAACTGAACTTTATTTTGTGAAAATCTGCCTTTTCAGCTGAATTAGAGAAACCTAACTGACTGTTTTAGTCGTTGCTAAGGTAGCCTTCACAGAGTCACTCACTAGGATTCAAGAGGCATTTAAGAAGTCTGCCGTAAAATGATTAGATGGATTGACTTTAAAGAACGACGTAGCAACTGCTGAAATAGCCGATTACTCTCTCTGTTTTGTAGAAAGCAGTCTTACCAGATAAAAAACTGAAACTCGATTGGTTATTTCGGTTTTTTCTGGAGTGACTTCTAAAGTTATTCGATTAGATGCCTTGTTAGTGTCAATGCTGGTATAATCCACTCGGTCAAACAACACTGTTTTCACATAGTTAAACTATTCAGCATTTTAAAACGACCGAAGTTTATGAATTGACCGTTAAATAAGGCTATTATAATATCAGACTATTACTGTAATAAGCAGGTGTAACAGGTCCCTACGAAATCATTATGTGGATCGGTAATGATCAGTCATGTTCATCAAATAAAACAGGTATCGAATTTA